AAAAGCTTATATTTCTTTCCTCCTTCTCTGGTGACTGACAGAAAATGTATGCTCCCTTCCTTCTCCTCCTGATCTGCTTAACGGGCAACTGAGACACAGATCTTTCTTTGCTCCCAGTTATACGGAAGGTGTACAAACTGATCCAGTCTATTTTCTCCACTGCTTGTTCATACAGGTGAAAAATGGGGTGAGTGGAGTGTATACTCGTCTTGCTTCTTTTATGTATAGCTTGAGAAAGGAGGAACTGTAGTACATCTTCGAGGAGTTGTGCGAATTGCAGTCTATTAAGTCTGACACTGGAAGTTTGTCCAGAACTAAGGTAGCTGGAAGGAGCCATGTTTTAGTCATTGCCACCTTGCTAGATCAGTATCTGTCTGCTGATCTTTCCCAAATACAGCGTTTGTGAATACCAGTCTCACACTAAACAAGCTTGTAGTCAAGAGAACATTTGAAAAAAAAAAGTATTAATAAATCACTAAGGTCAGTTTACCTTAAGTTCAAGTTACTTGGTGACCAGTTCAGAGCAAACCAAATGAAGTGATTCTTCATGCAGTCTGTGTGATATGAAGCTGTGGAACTCCTAACTCCAAATTCTTTGCATACCAGAAGTTTATATGGGTTCAGTGGAGGCTCAAAAATGTCATAAAGAAGAATCTATTTCTTGTTTAGTAAAACACATGGATCATGGCATTCCTAAGTGACAACATGGTGGAAGCTGAGGAAGTCTTAGTTGAAGTACCATAAATGTGTGTCCTACGTTCACATTGCCTCGTCATCTCCTTCTGAGAGACACTTCTGGACTAGATGGGCATTTTTTATTATCTAAAATGTCTATCCTTATGTTCTTCCTGCATTGGTCTTCAGCAAACTTGCAGAAAATACTCAATTCCCGTTGATTTTTAAAATGTTCTGGAGTACAGGTATCTCAGAAATTTTATTCATACTACATACATCTGATTTGTCTGAATCATGATTCACCTTACAATATTAGACAGACCTATAAATAAAACAGTAAAAACTTGCATTGGTAAGATCTTACCGTTAGGATATCAGAAACAAGTATTTAATAGAAAAAATATAGAATGTAGTCTTAGCTTCAGCTTGTCACATGCTTATCTCTTGAGTTGTTCTTCAGCCAGCAAAATTGGTAAATCATTGTTCAGAGTTCCCAGTGTTACCTGAGCTCAGAATATAACAATAGTTTTAGTGGCTCTCAGTTCTGTACCACTTAAGTATAAGCAATTCTTTCCAAATTCCCATCTGTTTCCCAATGCTGAGGCTGCAGTTTCAAGGTTGGCAATGGTGGTGTTTAGTTGCCATTGCCTTCAAGGGGTGTAGGTAGCCTTGATGAACCTCCCTGTAGGCAGACGTTTAGTGCAGCCAACTGTGAGTCCCACTGCAGATTTTTACTGGATTAGCCAGCCTCAGAACTATGTAAATCCTCTTTTCTGGGATCTGATGTCTTTGGTGCTTAAAGATGGTATCTCCTTGCTCCTATTCAGCCTTCTGGCAAACTGCTTCTTAACCGGCCTCAAGTGTTCCTTTATGCAGAGTTATCAATGCATTCTTTTTGATTGTGTACAGAATACTGATTATTCACATAATCACAGTTTCTCATATATTCCTTTGCTTTTCCATTGTACTTTTGGCATTTCCACTTTTTTCTACTCCCATCTGTTACGTCCAAATCGCCCTGTCATTATTTTGTAAACATAGCCCTTTCTGTAAATTAGCAGGTTCTGATACTGATGTCTTTTCCTATCTTATGATGTCTCCCAAACATGCTTGTCTCTAAAAATTAGTGTCTTCACAATGATTATGTTGTCTTGATAACTGTATAATTCCAGCAAAAATGGAAAAGATAATCTAAGTATTTAATTTTAAAATTTTAGCACCCATAATAGAAATCTTTATTAAAAGATTTTCGGTCTATTGACTTCTTCTGCATAATGCCTTTTAGTGAAGTACGTTGTTCTTGTAGTTTCATATATGACAGAAATAATTTTGATTTTGTTTTTTGAATTCTCTGTAATTTTATGGCAGTCTGTGAGAACATACAGTATAAATGTAATTGCTGTTAACCAATGAATTAAGGTATGCCAGATATATTTTATCATTAGAGTTTCTGGGCCACAAAATAAACATAGCTCAAGTAAGTGACTGCCAGGCATATGTTCTGTAATGTGGATCTCTGGAATTACAGAAATGGAGAAGGAGGTCTATTGGTTGGATATGGGCAAATTCTGCCATTTTCTATTCGTTGGTATTTCTTATGTACAGGTGACTTTCCTGTTAGTAATGCTTGTAAATTAAAAAAGGGAGAGTATTGATTAAAAATAAATTAAAATTTTTCATTATTGAAAACATCTAAAACACGCTCACCCATCTGAGTGGTAAGATACGGGTGAAAATAAATCAATACAACCTAAGTTACACACACCAGGGGAGAGATCCAAGCCTCCTAAGACAGTCTGTCTGAAAGCCAGAGGAGAGAGCTCAATGAACTTGTGAAGAGTCTCGGGGTTGAGCAAGGGGCGTTTTGGTGCACAAAGCCTATCTAGTGTGTCTGAATTTGTGCGCACTCTGGAGCGGAAGGCCCTGACTTGCAGTAGACATTTCTTTCCACTTGTGTTCCCGAGTGCTCTGATGCAGAGCATTAAGACATAAAAGAGCAAAGTTCTGCCGTTGGTGATGCTACCAACGGTGTCTTTTTATCGGTGGAGACAGTGAGAGCATCCTCACCCACCAGCCATGGTGTGCTCTGAAAAAGGGCTGAAGCTGTCTGTTGAAACTGTTAGCCAGAGTCCGAAGGCTAGCAGGAGGACAAGCGAAGGGAACATGAATTCATCCCAGTGACTGGGGAATAATCCTGAGATGTAGAAGCTGTTTGTCTAATCTCTACAGACTGAGAGGGGACTAGTAGTCTCTAAGCAAGCTCCCCAACTTATGGGCTATCATGCTAATGTGCTACTATATAGTATAAGAAACAAAAAAGTCATGATAATGCTTACTAAGTCTGTTATGAACCCTGTAATGCCACTGTAGTTTTCATTTAAATGTGTAAGTTAAATGTACTCTTATGAAACTCATTTCAATCTTGTGAAGAGGGAAAGAAAAATATGTGTAGACTGAAGTGGAGATATTCTTTTTTTGCATCACAAAACCTTTTCTT